ACTTGGGCTCCGCCCCCTTCTTAAAGGCACCGCTCTCGGCCACGCCCGGAGGTGCGCGGGTGGGGCGGATGGGAGGAGGGCTTGGCGGGAAGTAACCTCCAGACCTTACCTCAGCAAAGGTTCTACGAGGGGTAACTTGAGCCCCAGCCTTGCTCCCCCCAAAGTTACCTGCTTCTAGACTAGAGTGTGGTTGAGATCTGGATATTAGTATAATGCTTGCTTCTAGGGGCTTGCTGGAAAGGATAATACAGAATCTTCTTTGGAAAAATATATTAAACGACATGTCTATTAAAAATACATACCTTCATTCAAATAGTCTTTACTAGCACCTACAATGTTCAGGGCCCTGCGTTGGGTGCTACAGGGGAAAAAAATGAGACTTGAAAAAATGAGAGACAAATAATCACAGTTCTGTGTGATGAATGCTGTACAAAGTGCGCAGTAAGAAAACAGCAATAATTGTGCCTGGAGAGTGAGAACATTTGAGCTACTTCTCCAAGCACACTACACCCACATAGTCCAAAATCTGCTTGGCTATCCAGTACAGTCAGAAACACACTTATTAATCATTCATCCCTGGTTAAATTGTCACCCTTGGTTCAAAAATCTTCAGTGGGCTTCCCTGGTGGCGCAGTGGTTGAGAGTCCGCCTGCCGATGAAGGGGACACGGGTTTGTGCCCCGGTCCGGGAAGATCCCACATGCCGCGGAGCGGCTGGGCCCGTGAGCCATGGCCGCTGAGCCTGCGCGTCCGGAGCCTGTGCTCCGCAACGGGAGAGGCCACAACAGTGAGAGGCCCGCGTACCGAAAAAAAAACAAAAAAAAATCTTCAGTGCCCAGAACATACCTTCCCAGCCTGGTCTTCGACAGGGCTAGACTGCTAGATATCCCTGAATGGCAGCATGCCAATGCCAGACCGTTTTCTCCTTTTCTTCTCACCTTGAAGTGAGAAGGATACCCCCCCCACCCACGTAAAAGGTAAGTTCTAGGTGTCAACTGGAAAAAAAAAAAAAGCACAACCTAAAAGTTGAGAATTATGTTTTATTTGGCAGACAAAACCGAGGATTTAAGTCCAGGACACAACATCTCAGATAGCTCTGAGAGACTGCTTGGAGGAGGTAAGGGAGGAGCCAGGATACATAGGAGTTTTTGCAACAAAGACCAGGTAGTAGTCAGAATATCGAAAGATTACTGTTAAAGAAAACCAGATATCTCAAGTTAAGAGATTTATTGCTTTTCTATGTATGGGAAGATGCAAAAGTCAGGGCTCACTGAAATCATTCCTTTGATGTACACCTCAGCTATCTGGGGCCAGTATCCTGTGCTTTCTCTTCCTGAGTTTGGGGGTCGGCGGGGGGCGGGGGGCACTGCTAGATGGCGGGCATCCTGTTTCTATCCTGAGTTCCCTCATGGCTCAGCTGTAAGGTGATGGCTTGTTGCCTGCAACATCCTTTGTTTACTGATGTGGCAGGCAACATTTTTGTTTTCCATTGATATAGGTCAGACGCCATCTCTATGAAGCCCCTTCTGATCACCTAGCAGAGAAGGGAGCTCTTCTTCCTTCAGTAGCAATTTCCTCTAAGAGGATTAGGAGAAACCTCAGAGGATGTGGCATCTGAGTTGATTGTGAAGAGGCAAGTAGCCCACTCCACTAGGCAGAGGAAATGAGGGACGAACCTTCTAGGCAGAGGGAGCAGCAGAGCAGACTTGGTAAATTCAGGACAATGTGCCTAAAACATAGGGATTTTTCAGGCAGAAAGTATCAAGAGATGAGAGTGGCAGAGGAAGTCATCATCCTGGCCAAAGCGTGTGAGGGTTGAATTGAAGCGACTCTATAGGAGGGAACTGCAGTAGTTTGTGGCACTGGTGGCAAGGGCCTCAAATGTGTAGCAAGATCAGTGGAGACAGGTGGCCAGATTTGAGGCACAGACTAAGTGGCTAATGGGATGGACACTTGCAGAACTAGATAACTAACAGCAGACTACACACAGAATAAGAACTCCAAAAACATCCAAAAAACAAATTTTGGAAACTTCTGATATTTAAAAAAACGCATCTAATTGCACATGAGAATGGTCACCATAGTCATTTCACTGCTTGGGGCTGCTGTGGACTGGAATCCAGCCCTTGGTGGTGATAAAGCGGAGATATAAAATGGGAGACTCAGTGATGGACTCAGTTTCAGCCATAAGAACCGGAGACCGGTACCCTGGAGAGCCATCCAGAACACAGCTGGAAATCCTGCAGACCGAAGTGGAAGCTAGAAGTGGGGCTTTGTGAATACAGCCTAGTAGCTGGAGTCCCAAGAAAAGGAGCTAAGAAGTGTCTCTCCAAACAAAGAATAGTGTTTACCTTGGAGAGATTGAGTTATGGTTGGTTTTATTTTCTTCGTTATCTTTTTGTATATTTTTCCATTTGTTTTTCTATAGTGATTATATTTTCATTTTAAAATAGAAAAAAATAATAAACTTTAATGTGACTATTGCTTGGTGGTTGTCCTCCATTTCTTTCTATGGCTCCAATTTACAAACAATGGAGCTAATTGACACAAGATTTTTTAACACCCCTCTTCCACTGATGCACACTGAAACCCTTGATTAGACAGTTTCAGCTTGTCATTTTTTTTTTTTTTTTTTGACTGCACCATGTGGATAGGGGGGATCTTAGTTCTCTGACCAGGGATCTAACCCGTGCCCCCTGCAGTGGAAGCATGGAGTCCTAACCGCTGGACCGCCAGGGAATTCCCTACAGTTTCAGTTTCTGGCTGGTATTTTCCGGCCTGTCCTGTTGGTTCCTAAACCTCAAAACATCCCAAATCTGCAGTCTGTGATCTCTGTTCCCTCCATCACCTGCTCTGTGTGGGTGTTTTTTATTTCTATTAATGGCCCCACCTTCCTCACAACCTCACAGGCTCTGCCTTGACCTCTCTTGAGCTCCACAGCCATAGAGTCAATCAGATGACAGCAATTCTGCCTGCCTAAAATCGTGAACCATCCCCTTCCTGCCATCCCCACTGCATCCTACTTCAATTATTTCTGGCCAAAACTACTACTGTAATGACTTTCTTCTTTAAAAATGTTTTAAACTACATTAAAATTATGTCTTTTTTCATGGTAAAATGGACATGGTTCCAAAAAGGAAACATATAGATGGAGTTAAGAAAACAAATAGTTCTACAAAAAGCAGCCCTGCAGTGCTCTCCCCCATCCACTTCCTGCTTCCCCCAGGCACCCATTTTCAATACATTAAGCTGTTTCCTCTGGTATTTACCTCCCTATTTCTAAATAACATATATATTGCTGTTTTCTTTAGTTTTTCAGTTTTAATATTAGCTGTTGACTTTCGTCAGTGGAAGATGAGAACTTAGCCCTCTTATATCCCCCAGAAACACCATACATGTATACAAGCATATATAATTATGTTGCAATAGTTCAATCAATAGTCAGTGTATAACTTATGATTATGAATTATTCACAAATGATCCACATGGTGAACTGATTGCATTTCCTTTCTTCTTTTGTTTCCCCTGGTTTGCCTCATGTGTTTTACTTTGTTTTCCATATACCTATCGCTGTTCTATCCTCAAACTCACAGAACTGTAAGTCTCCTCTTGATAAGTGCAAACATATCTGGATAAGGTTGGCAGGGTCCTTCCAACTTGTCCCCCTGCCTCCCTCTCTTTCCTCTCCATGGCATCTTGCTATGTCACTCCCCTGTTCTTGGCTTCTAATGGTTGGCTTCCTAAAGCCAACAGAGTAAAACCAAACTCTCTTGACGTGACCTTCGAGGCCCTCCACAATCTGTCCTGTGTTTCTGTTTCTTCCCTCAGACTCCTTCCTCTTCAGCAAAACTAGGTTTATCTAGGTTTCTTAATACTATTCCCCACTAAAAGGATCCTCTATCTGATTCTTTTCCAAAATCTGCCTGGTCACTTTTTATGGTCTCTTGGTCATTATACTTTCAATAGCTTCCTTTGTTTAAACAAATTAAGACATACTTCATGTACCACATATGATTCTAGTATCTGTGACATTAAAGTTTTTTAGTACCTGTTAAATTTTTAAGAAAAAAACAACTAAAGATGACGAAAAAACCAACTAGAGATGACAAAAAAAAAGGCAACAGAATTAACTGGGATTCTAGTTTCATCCATGACACCTGGAGCCCCTAAGAGAAATGAGAGGAATCGCTTTAGGGAATACGGAAATGAAATTTTTTTTTAATATTTATTTTAGTTGCACCAGCTCCTTAAGTTGTGGCACGTGGGCTCCTTAGTTGTGGCATGGGAACTCTTAGCTGCGGCATGTGGGATCTAGTTCCCTGACCAGGGACCGAACCCGGGCCCCCTGCATTGGGAGCGTGGCGTCCTAACCACTGCGCCACCAGGGAAGTCCAGGAAATGAAATTCTTGGAGATACAGAATGTAGAATTCTTTTCCACCATGACTCTACTGTTTTCCTTTGGAATCGGGAGCAAAAAGGAGGAACCCATGGACAAAAAGCAGACTTGTGATAGCCAGGGCCTTCGGGGGAGGGGCAAACGGGGAGTGAGGGCTTAAAGGCCTTAAAGGGTATGGGTTTCTGTTTGAAGTGATGAAAATGTTTGGAGCTAGACAGTGGTGATGACTGCGCAATACTGTGAATGTACTTAGTGCCACTGAACTGTGCACTTTAAAATGGTTAAAAATGGTACGTTTTATGGTTGTGTATTTTACCATAATAAAACAAAAGTTAAAGAACAAAAGTCAGCCTCCTAAGGACCTGGAGCTGTGCAGTGTACACAGGTTTTCATTTGGTGTAGGCGGGGACAGAAGTATAATTCCAAGTACATGACAACTTCAAATGGAGTCTCCAAATCATTTTCATCAGAAAGTCACTCTGTGGGAGTGAAGACAATTGGCAGGGCCCAGCCCACAGTGACTTCGCTAGCACTCAGCCACCACACCCCCCCAGCCCCTGCCCTCCACAACCTTCAAGAATGAAGCACTCAGCTACCAACAAGACATATTTCAAATAGTTTAATTTTAAAAATATTCTATTCGGTGCTAAAATATGTCTTCACTCACTGTTGCCCGTTTCCATTTTCTTAAACTTTTTTGAAACAAAAAATAAAATCACGAGGTTCAATTAAACATGCAGATTTCAAAGAAAAGGGAACTTTCTAGAAAGTCTGAGCTGAAGGAGTACTGTGGGAATGGGTGCTGTTGTCAGAACCTCAAATTCTCGCTGGGGCAGAGTTTGCGGCAGGAGTGCTGGGGACCGTGGCGGGAGGCAGGGGATGCTGGAATGAAATGTCCAGGTGGAAACAACAAAAGCTGCGCGTGCGTGTGTGTGTGTGTGTGCGCGCGCGCGCACACGCGCGCGTGTGTGTTGGGAGAAGGGGATGGTTACAGTGGGGGACAAAGGACTGTCAGCAGCCAGAGAGCCCATGAGAGGCAGGATAACCTCAGGAATGGGCAGAAGTGCCAGGATAGCAAGAAATCTATATGGACTTTTCCACGCTCTCATGGAGCGAAGCCCTTCCCTTGCCTCCGGAGTCTACTCAGGCATTCTCCAACAGCAGCCTACAGGGCCCCTAGCCCTATGCGAAAGTCCATGAATCTACAGTCTCCATTCAATTCAAGTAAGCCCTAGGCACTCTCTTCTCTAGAGGATGCCTTCCACATCTCTTTCCTCTTGTAGAAGCACCAGCAGCTCAGTCCAGAGGTTCCGGAGCAGAGACTGCTACCTGGAGGTGACAGATGAACCCTGGAGTGGCCGATGCTCCAGCCTACTTGGGGTGCAAAAAGGACAGGAGTGCTCCTCTTCTCAGGATCAAGCAGACACAGGTGCCAGGGACGGGAAGATGACGTTACGACCCCCAGTCCTATGTCAGCCTTCCAGCCCAGAAGGCTCCTATGTGCAGGCTCTGGAGCCCAGTGCTTGCCCTTAGCCCAGCAGCACAGCACAGCCAGAACCAGAATGCAAGAGAGGTCTGGGGCCAGGAGGCGAAGGGTGCCAGGGTGGTGCTAGCTTTCTGACGCTGTCTGTGGCACTGCGGGCTGGTCCACACAGAAGCGTTTCAGGGGAGGCGCACCTGAGTCTTCCTCTTCCTCAGCAATCTAGAAGCAGCCAGGGCATGGAATCACAGGGCCATCCTTCTGAAACAGACCTCCCCTTCTACCCTAATTACAACCCGGAAGTCCATCCCCCACTGTCTCACAGATAACCAAACCTCTTCCCCTACCTTATAACCTGGAGCCCAGCGTCCGTGCTGCCTTCCCAACTACAGCACATCCCGTGCTATAGAGCCAGTGCACATTAACAGAGCCCTCACTTTTTTCTTAGAAACTGGGAAACCCAAAGCACCTCCTTACCTGTGTCTCTAATGGAACTGGTTCTTCCTTCGTGAGGGTGGGAGGTTCATCAGCAACTTCTGAGGCGGGCAGGGAGGGCTCTGCAAAAGCAAGGTCGGCGTAGCTGAAGGGCCTCCTGAGGCAGGAGACTCCTATGGGATCTCTGCCCCAAGCTGGGGGAGTGCTCCTGCAAGCTATGTGGAGACGCCTTGGTGAAGGGGCAACACAGGCCGCAGAATCAATATACATTATAAGAAGAAATTCGCAGCATCTAGTGCAAAGAGCACGAGCTCCGAAGTTAGAAGGAATGAAATGAGACACACAGTTCCACAAGTTACTAGCTGTGTGATCATGGCCAAGCAATTGAACTTTTCTAAGACTACTTCCTCATCTGTAAAATGGAGATAACAGCTGCCATTTCATGGGGTTTTTGAGAGAGTCATACCAGGCATCAAATATGAAAAGTGCCTTCCTTACAGAGAGCCTGGCGCTCAGTTGTGTTGCTGTTTTCTTTCTTCATTCTGTGAAAGGCGAAAATAAAACCATTCCCAAAATAGCCTCAAACAATTGACAAACGGCTTGAAGCTGCCAGCTCTGGGGCAAATTCTCTAACTTGTGACTCTAAAGAAGAGAAACATCAAGAGCAAGAGCAAGGCCCCTCCAAGACGCTCATTGGGGCCAACAGAGACTCACCCTCAAGGATCTCCTGGCCCAGGGTGGGGGGCTGGGAGTCATCTGTGCGGAAGTCGGAGGTGTGCGCTGGGCTCAGGGACTCGCTCTGCTGGGGGCTGGGGCTCGAGTTGGTGCTGCTGTCCACCTTGAGCTGATAGACATCAGACACGGAACTCTGGTTGCTGTTTTCATCTGAAAACCAAACATGACAAAGGCAACAGCTGAGGGTGGTCACTTTTGAGAGCAATTCAGTACAGAGCCAAGGGCCTGGTGTCTCTGCAGACAGCGTGGACACAGCCAGGCACACAATGATCACGGCTGTAAACAGCCTCTGAACCAAAGGCAGACATTCTCGGGGCTTCTGTGCACTGCAACTTACCAACAAGAGTCTAAATTGATTAAGTTAAGCATGTTCTATCTTATGACACATATTCTAAGCACCACAAGATGCAGCCAGAATCTTTAAGTTTATGCAACATTTATATTTCAGGAAGGTCAAGATATGCTTATTAATCCCTTCTTTATTATCCACCACTTATAGCTGGGACCTGGTATTTTCCCACTGTCCAGTGAAGGGAGGAACACATCTGTGCCTCTCAACCTTTCTCACAATACAAGAGGTGTAGAAAATGAGAGTCTGTCTGCTATTCTCGGCTGTCTGAAGGAGGGTGATAGTGTCTGGAGGTGGTCAGCTTGGGCCCTTGCACCTGCCTAGGCTCCATCTCACCGCCTCAAGGACCGTGGGATCCCACCTGGGAAGCGCTGTCTGAAGGCTTAAAGTCACCACCTAAGTTAAAAATACAGAGTCAGCAGGGCCTTCCTCTCCCTGACCTCCAGCAGCCAGTCACCAAATCTGCCCCACCCACTGCCCTGACTCGGCCTGTGCCCATTCCTTCCTCTCCCCGTGGCCTCAGCTCAGCCCTCATGATCTCTCGCCTGGCCTCCAGCCACAGCTACCCAACTGCCCTTCCTGCAGTCTCAGGCACCCCCACTGGACCTCATACCACTGCCAGAATGATCTTTCTAAACCCTTGTCGGTTCCCCACTGCCCACGAGATGGCCCTATCCCAACCTACAAACTCCCTTCTGATCTCCAGGCTCACCACCTGCTGTTCTTCCCCATGTACCCTGGCTCCTGCCAAACTGGACTCTAACCTAAGAGCAGCTTCAAGTACCAGTGTCTGCTATGACATGCTCTTTCCGGTCTTCCTGCAAAGCCCCTAGACATGCCAACATTCAGCTCAGGCATCACCTCCTCCACAGAGCCTCGTGTCCAGGCTCCCTTGGGTGGAAATGACCACCCTCTCTTTTATGCTCCTGCTGTTTCCTGTGCACACCTGCATTTACTATATTACACACCAGTCTCCCTCCATTACACTCTGCGCAGGCAGGCTCTGTGGCTTACTGGTCCTTGAATCTCCAGTGCAGTACACAGTACCTGGCACATAGTAGGAGTTCATTAAATGTTCAATGAACAAAAAGGATAAGATAGTGGCCAGACTGAGGAAATGGAGCCTCCCATTGTCTCCCAGAGCTTTATGATGGAACATCTCACACAGCTAGAGAACATTTCCCTTGTATTCTCTTCCTGTACCACACTGACCTTGCAGGGGTTGGGGGAGAAGTGAGGAGGGGATACCTGGTCGCTCCCAGTCTAGTTCCGAAGAGAAAATTGTAAGCCCTTTCTAGTCTTTATCCTACAATGACCACCACCTTCTATACTAAAATGGAAGTAGCATTTTATCACAAAAAAGAATAAAGCTCTGTCACTCTTCTGCTCAGGCAAATACTTTTCTTCTCCAAGCATCAGTTTTCTGAAATAGGGATGATGATAACTGCCTGGTTTATATCACAGGCTAATGTAAAGATAACAATGAGAAACTGAAGTGAAAGTGCTTCATAAACAGTAGCTGCCACACAGGTATAAAAAGTAATGTTATGAGTGTAGTGCTGACTCAGGCAGGACGTCTACCGAAGACTGGTTTAGGAGGCAGAGCTTGGGCTAAGGGTGGATGGGTAGATGCCCCGGCATGGGCGGGGAGGGGGTCTCCTCTGAGGCACTCTCATCAAATACACAGTCTAAAGAAAAGTGCTTCTGATCCAGAAAACCGGGACCCACCATGGGGTCTGCCACCTACAAGTGATATGACTTTAGATATGTAACCTCACCTCTCTGAGCCTCAGTTTCCGTAACTGGAAAGTGAGGAGACTGTGGTCTCTCTTGCAGGGTTATTGTGAGGTTTAAATGAAAAGGCTTCCATAAAGTGCCCAGGAAGATACCAGCAAAACAGTAGACACTGAAATGACACACAGACTATTCTTCTGATTATTAATGGGTCATCTAAATTTTCAGTTTCCTGCAAGGAAGACATATGGATGCAACTCACCCTGGAATTCAAGAAGGAGAGAGGAATTGGCTGAGGCATCAGAGGGAAAGCCATTAGGTTCCCGGGCTGCTGAACTGTTCGATTTTGACTTTTCTTTCTAGAAAAGGAAAAAAAGAGGAATATGACAGAGCCAAGCAGAAGACTCACAGAGAGAGAAGGTGCTGAGACACCAGAGAGGTCTGGATTAGGAACAGGAGGAACAACAGCGGTTTCAGAATCCAGGACCCGAGGAATAACAGGATCCTGGACAAGGTGTCCCCAGGCCTCAGTGTCTCTGTCAGTAAAATGGACCCTTCCAGTGCTAATATCATGAATCGCAAGTGAGAGGCAGATACATGTCTTCCACTAGAGCTCCCTGTAGGACTCTTCTGCTTTCTGCCCTGATGAGAATGCTCTATCCAGTCCTTCCCTACAGGCATGGGTGAGAAACACAAAATACCCATTTGAGAAAGATCCCTGTTTTAGTAGCACAGTAGGGAAGAAAAATAAGTGAAAGAAGAAAGGACCTCTGACTGGACAAAGGAAGGAGTCACTTTATATGTAATGCAAGCAGTGACAGGACAAGGGGCCCCTGCTAGCTCTATTCCTCACCAATCCACCACATCCACTCAAAATGATCTCCCATGTCCACCTCTGCCTTCAAGCAGGATGCAGGTTACACATGTGGGGGAACCACAGTGGGAAGGTAAGCACTAGCTTGCAACAAACAAGGAAATAATCCACAGGACAGGAAATCATCAATCCAAGCATTTGCAAATGAGAGCATCCCAAGAGCCAAAAGTTCAAATCTGAATAATCTCAAATTTACTAATTCATACTTTTTATACTTGCCTATTTATTGTACGTGCATCGTACTAGTAATACAACTTAGTGTTTCTTAATACTCTCAATACTAGCTCGGCAATAAATCAACTGTACACATACATGCAGTCCTTCCCTTCATTTTTTCATATACAGACATAATTTTAATGTAATTACACTTTACCATTTTACTGCAGAGGCTACATAAACATGATTTTTACTAGCTGCACAATATTCCAGATATCATAATCACTTAATCACTACTCAACTAGTGGACATTTAGCTTTACCTGATTTAGGATTGTTTTTGTTTATTGCTAGTAGGAATAAACCCACAATGCTCAACTTTCACTTTTTCCTGGATTATGTGACTAAATTCACAAAAAAAATTCCTTCTAGATCAAAAAGTATAAACTAAACATATTTTTCTTAAAATATACTGTGGCTCACCCACCACTCTCTACAAGGAGGCTGGCAATATATTTGGAGTACGAGCATCACGGCACCCATGCCAACATTTGGCTTTATCATTATTTTTTTCTGATCTCTCATTTATCTTTATTTTAATGATTCTGGGCTCACATAAAATATGCATTCACTATAAGAAATTCTGAAAATACAGAAAAAGAAATGAAAATCACCTGTACAACCCGAGACAACCGATACAACATACATCTGTATGAAAATGGCTCATGATTCAGCATTATAACTTGCTCCCCCTCCCCCATTCACCATATTAAAAACATTTTTCTCTGTGAACATGGTGCTGCGAGTGGTGCGGAGCGTGCGGGCCACAGTCTGCAGCCTGCGCACCACCTCTGTGCCCAACACGCCCTGCCCACTGTGGCCCTGGGGACTGCGGCAGGCACCGACCGGGCGCTGCTCACCGGACCCGCTCTGCTGTCAGGTTGTAAATTCACAAACAAACATGAATGGGTAACAACAGAAAATGATGTTGGAACAGTGGGAATCAGCAATTCTGCACAGGAAGCTTTGGGAGATGTTGTTTACTGTAGTCTGCCTGAAGTTGGGACAAAATTGAACAAACGAAGAATTTGGTGCTTTGGAAAGTGTGAAAGCTGCGAGTGAACTCCATTCTCCTCTATCAGGAGACGTAACAGAAAATAATGAAGCTCTAGCAGAAAATCCAGGACTTGTCAACAAATCTTGTTATGAAGATGGTTGGCTGATCAAGATGACACTCAGTAAGCCTTCAGAACTAGATTAACTAATGAGTGAGGAAGCATATGAGAAATACATAAAATCTATTGAGGAGTGAAAATGGAACCCCTAAATAAACTAGTTTGAAACAACTTAATCTAGCATAGCTGTCTTAAATTAGTGGTGGATAGATTTTTAAAAAGCAACTTTTAGGGCTTCCCTGGTGGCGCAGTGGTTGAGAGTCCGCCTGCCGATGCAGGGGACACGGGTTCGTGCCCCGGTCCGGGAAGATCCCACATGCCGCGGAGTGGCTGGGCCCGTGAGCCATGGCCGCTGAGCCTGCGCGTCTGGAGCCTGTGCTCCACAACGGGAGAGGCCACAACAGTGAGAGGCCCGCGTACCGCAAAAAAAAAAAAAAAAAAAGGCAACTTTTAGCAAAAGAAACGACTTTCAACAATGTTGCCTGAAGAAAATACCCCTTAACTTCCTCATGATTTCTGATAAACACTCTGCATCTTTTTCACAACACCCTATGATTTTTAGGCTAGTCTCCAGTTATAATATTTAGAATTCCTGAAATTATCTGTGGTAAAACTAGTTATAAAAATTATGTAATTCAAGGATTACATTGTTATCTTAACTATATATTTTTATATATATATATATATATATATATATATAAAAAATAACTTGCTTACAGCCATCCCTGGATTTAGGTCAAAAGACTCAATGAAATTGCCACTGGAAATAAATGGCAGTGGAGAAAAGTTTGTTAGTTGTATCGTGTCCAATTAAGAACATTACTATGTTAATTTTGCAATATACTGTGTTTGCTTGTGCTATTTTTATACAGTGAAGCAACAGCCTTGCAGGAAAATAAGAAACAGTTTAATAATAAAATATGCAACTTCCTAAAAAATAAAAAAGTTTTTTTCTATGCCATTGAATAATCTTCTATACCATCTTTTATAATGGTTACAAAGCTTTACGATATACAGGTGCACAATAACTTAATGAATTCTCTACAATAAGATCTTCATTTTGCTTGCAATTTTTAAATACCACAAACAATAATATTGTGATGCTCAACACTATAGATATACCTTGTACACATCATGATTATGTCCTGAGGATAAATTTCTAGAGATAAAACTTCTAGATCAAAGGCATAAATATTCTGAAAGCTTTTTCCCCCTCAGCTTTACTGAGGTATAACTGACAAATAAAATTGTAAGATACTTAAAGCGTACCCTGGGTTAATCTGATATACATATACACCGTGAAAGGATTCCCACCATCTGGTTAATTAAGCTTTTAAGTATACATATATGATCAACTTCACGTGTAGAAAGTTTGTCCCAATTTACTCTCCCATCAGCAGTGCCGCACTCCCTTATGTCCTTCACATTTTTTTCTTTACCAATTTGGTCATTTTCTATTTTTCCTAACCTAACTGGTCTATGCCAGTACCTTAGAAGATGGCACACTATCATGGACCACTGGAAGGTAGATAAACCGATGGACCTCAGGGCCCAGCTCAGAAACCAACACAAACACTGTAAGAAGCCCTTCGGAGAGACAAAAGGAACTGAGTCCTGGGCAGGAGAACTTGAAATAGGAAAGCGCCAGGGTCTTACATGTGAGAAATGGGGAGGGGGTTGCTGGCAGTGTCCTTCCCCCACATGTACACACTACCCAAGAGATCTCGCAGCCTGACCTTTGGCCCTTATGGGTATTGGCATCACCAGAGCCAGGGTTAGATGAAAAACAAAGGGTGACTCCAGAGCCCCCCCTAACTTCACCCACCAAGTCCTTGGGCTGGACAAGGACGGCTGCTCCCAGATAAAGGCAGCACGTGGAAGACTGGTACTAGGGAGTTCCCTGGGAGGCAAGGGAAGATGAGAGGGGAAAAGGGAAAGGCTGAACCCTGAGGCTAATCCCATCCCCTAAATCCATTTAGAGGAGGGAACACAAAGCCTCGGTTACACGGTTACACATTTCTAGCCAATGCAGCTCAGAGTCAAAAGGAATAAAAGATGAGTGCACAGAAAAAACTAACCAGACACTGGAGGAAAACAAGCACCATGAAAGACAATAAACAGAACAAGCTATACCAGAAGAAGCAGACTAGTGGGACAGAAGAATTGAAATAAAACATAGCAAATCTCCTCAGAAAGATAAGGATGACACTGGAAAGTTGTTTTGAACAACCAACAACAAAGGAAATTTGGTATGAATAATAAACTCGTTCAAAATAAAAATTAAGTGAATGAGGGAATTCCCTGGCAATCCAGTGGTTAGGACTCAGCGCTTCCGCTGCCTGGGGCCCAGGTTTGATCCCTGGGAAGGGAATTAAGATCCCACAAGCCAGCTGCACAGCGTGGAAAAAAAGAAAAAACAATTAAGTGAACGAGTTTATTAGCAGAAATAGAGCTGAAGAAAAGATTAATGAGCAAAAACTGGGTTGAGGGTCTTCCCTGGTGGCGCAGTGGTTGAGAATCTCTGCCTGCCAATGCAGGGGACACGGGTTCGAGCCCTGGTCTGGGAAGATCCCACATGCCGCGGAGCAACTAGCCCCGTGAGCCACAATTACTGAGCCTGCGCGTCTGGAGCCTGTGCTCCGCAACAAGAGAGGCCGCGATAGTGAGAGGCGTGCGCACTGCAATGAGGAGTGGCCCCCACTAGCCGCAACAAGAGAAAGCCCTGGCACAGAAACGAAAAGCCAACACAGCCGTAAATAAAAAAAAAAAAAAAAAAAAAACTGGGTTGAGAAGTCAGAATATATGAGGACAGAATAAAGAGATGAAACAAACTAAAAGTTAAGAAATGAAGATAGATGTCCACATTACAGGATATTCTTACAGAAGTTCCAGGTCAAACAGAAGAAATTCTAAAAGTTTCCAGGAATATAAAAGAATCACCTACAAAGAAATCAAGAATTAGACTGACATCAGATTTCTCAACAGAAAACCAGAAGCACAACAATTGAGTAATAGTTTCAAAATGTTGAAAGAAAATAATTTTTAACCTAGAATTTCATATACAGGTAAAATGATCAATTAAACATGAAAGTAAAACAAAGATATTTTCAGAAAGTTTTCTCCACACAAACCCTCTTTGGCAAAACTCTTGAAGGGTGTATTCCAGCAAGAAAAGAAATGAATCTAAGAGAAAGCAATAATAAATAGGTACAAAGGGTTAGTAAATAATTAGTAATGTTTACTTTGTCTAATTAAGCAATGACTAAAACAAGAAATGTCTGTAAAAACAGAAATATCTGAACAGAATATCTGACCTGAAATTCCACTGAAAACTAAGGAGAGGGCAGGAATGAAAGTGGGGGTAGAGACCAGGGGTGGTTAAAAATGTGTTCAGGCTCTGAGGGGAAACACAGATTTTGATAAGCGTTATACACTGATACAGAAAAATAGTAAGTATAAGTCTTATTAGGTTAGAGATAGCCAATAAAAAAATTAAAAATAAAATGTGGAACTTTCAAATCGGAAGAAAAATTTGAAAGTGAATTTGAGGTGAAGAGAAAAAAGAAAGTGTATCATGGCAGAAATCCTTGTCCACATAAGTAGAGTGTTTAGATGGTGACATTTTCACGGCCTTTCCGGCCCCTAAATGTGCCACAGCTATTATGAACACACATAGTTAGTATACATGTCCTGAGGAGACTTCTAGGAAACTCCTTAAATTCATGAAAATACCATTTGCCCATCCTTCCACTCTCTTGCTGCCTTGAACTTGAATGTGTTGAATGATGGCTGGAGCTCAAACTTGGATACAAGGTCAAACATGAAGCAGAGGAAAATGGGCAATTGTTTAATGCATATAGAGTTTACCTCTGCAAGATGAAGAGTTCTGGAGATGGATTACACAACAAAGTGAATGTATTCAACACTACTGAACTGTACACTTAAAAAACGGTTAAGATGGTAAATTTTATGATATGTGTATTTTACCACAATAGAAATAAAGTAAAATGAATAGAGAACCATTAATCTCTTAAATATAAATTAAAAAAAAAAAGGTGGGACTTCCCTGGTGACGCAGTGGTTAAGAATCTACCTGCCAACACAGGGGACACAGGTTCGAGCCCTGGTCTGGGAAGATCCCACATGCTGCAAAGCAACTAAGCCCACGCGCCGCAACTACTGAAGCCCGTGGGCCTAGAGCCCATGCTCTGCAACAAGAGAAGCCACCGCAATGAGAAGCCCGACACCGCAACGAAGAGTAGCCCCCTCTCTCCACAACTAGAGAAAACCCACGCACAGCAATGAACACCCAATGCAACCAAAAATAAATAAATAAATTTATTTTTTTTAAAAAAGGAACAGAAAGGTTGCAAGAAACCTGGGTCCCTGGGGACTCTTAGAGTGGAAGTGCCACACCGGTCCTAGACTGCATATTTCTGTTCCTCTAAGAATAAAAGAAAACTTTTTTAAACCATTACTACTTTGAGTTTTCTGTCACCCACAGCTAAACCTAATCCCAATATGCCCAATAAGCAGAAAAATGTAAAACAGAGAAAAACAGAATTACAAGACATACCAGGGAAACACAAATCAAAAGAAGACACGGTGTCTTTTAGAATATCTAGAATATCAATCAAAGAAGCCATGCAAATCAGAAAAGTAAAGAGGAAACCCAATCCAAGAACAAGGAAAATACAAGAAATCAGAGGGGAATTTCCTGGCAGTCTAAGCGGCTAGGACTCTGTGCTTTCACTGCCCGAGGGCCTGGGTTAAATCCCTGGTTGAGGAACTAAGATCCCACAAGCCTCAGGGCAAAAAAAAAGAAATCAGAAAAGAGGAAATCTAAATGAATAAAAAGTAAATCTGAAGAGATAAAATTGTCAACCTCCCTAGTGTTCAGAGAAATGCAAAATAAACAAAGAGATACCACTTTACGTCTATCAGATTGGCAGGACTTAGGAATTAGGAGTTAGATAATATCAGATGTTGCTGAAGATGTGGGAAACGGGAGCCCTGCAGCACAACTGGGGAAGTGTACTAACTATCCGGGTGCAGCTATTCAGGAGAGAGCTCTGACAGCCAGCATCTAGTAAAAACAATCATGTATGTACAGCCAGTAACAGAGAACTCTCACTCCTGGGCATCTAATCCAGAGAAAACCTCCCACAAGTCCTCAAGGACAATGGTTTAAGGAATGTCCACCAGAGTCATCTGTGCTACCAAAAAAAGCTGGAGGCAACACACACAAACAGACCCATATTCGGACACTTGGAATATGACAAAGTTGGTTCTACAGAGCAGGAGGAAAACAGTCTTTTCAAGTGTTGGGACAAATGCATACCCACATGGAAAAAAATGAAATTGGGCCCCTACTTCAAAATACACGAAAATCAACTCCAGGTGTGTTATAAATGGGAACAGGATAACAAGACTGTAGAAGATTATATGGAAGAATACCTTTGTGACCTCAAAGAAGGAACAGATTTAAGACATTTAAAAGCACTAATTATAGGGCTTCCCTGGTGGTGCAGTGGTTGAGAGTCCGCCTGCCGATGCAGGGGACATGGGTTCGTGCCCTGGTCCGGGAAGATCCCACATGCCGCAGAGCGGCTGGGCCCATGAGCCATGGCCGCTGAGGCTGCGCGTCCGGAGCCTGTGCTCCGCAACGGGAGAGGCCACAACAGTGAGAGGCCCGCGTACAGCCAAAAAAAAAAAAAAAAAAAGTTTAAAAGCACTAATTATAAAGTAAAAAATTATTTTGTCTATATTAAAATTAAAAACTTGTTACTCGGGACTTCCCTGGGGGCACAGTGGTTAAGGATCCGCCTGCCAATGCAGGGGGCACAGGTTCGATCCCTGGTCCAGGCAGATCCCACATGCGGCGGAGCAACTAAGCCCATGCACCACAACTACTGGGCCTGCGCTCTAGAGCCTGTGAGCCACAAATACTGAGCCCGTGCGCTTAGAGCCCGCACTCTGCAACAAGGGAAGCCACCACAAGGAGAAGCCCGCGCACCACAACAAAGAGTAGCCCCTGCTCACAGCAATGAAGACCCAATGCAGCCAAAAATAAAATTAAAAAACAAAAACAAAAAACTTCTGTTACTCAAGCCTGCATAAACAGAGTGTAAAGACAAGCCATGGAATGGAAAAAGGTACAGATAGTATTTAATCAATAAAGAGTATGTGTCCACAACACAGAGAATCCCTACAAGTCCTAAGAAAAAGACCACAGCCAAAGAGACTTAAATAGGAACTTCTTAAAAGAGGAAATCCAAAAGGATGCTGAAAAGATTCTCCATCTCATTAGTAATTACATCATTAATCACCAAATTAAAACCACAATGAGATATCTTAATACATTAAGTCTAACTATACCAACTGTTGATGAGGATTTGGAGCAGTGAGAACTCATATTGCTGTTAAGAATATATACTGGTTGGGCTTCCCTGGTGGCACAGTGGTTAAGAATACGCCTGCCAATGCAGGCGACACGGGTTCCATCCCTGGTCTCGGAAGATCCCACATGCCGCGGAGCAAATGGGCCCGTGTGCCACAACTACTGGGCCTGCGCTCTGGAGCCCGTGAGCCACGGCCGCTGAACCCGCACACCACAGCTACTAAAGCCCACTCACCCTAGAGCCCACACGCCACAACTACTGAAGCCTGCGCGCCTAGAGCCCGTGCTCCACAACAGGAGAAGCCACCTAAGTGAGAAGCCCGCGCACCGCAACGAAGAGTAGCCCCCGCTCACCACAACTAGAGAAAGCCCATGCGCAGCAACGAAGACCCAATGCAGACAAAAATTTAAAAAAAAAGAATATACAGGTGTCCAAATAAACCCATGGAAGAGGAATTAGAAAGGCATATATACATATTAAACACATGATGTAATAAACCACAGTGGGCAGCAGGAGTCCACAAACTTTCTCTTACAGGGCCAGATAATAAATATCTTGGGCTTTGCAGGCCATTAGGTGTTATGGCAATTACTCAGCTCTGCCATTACAACTCAAAAGCAGCCACAAATAAGGAAACAAACAGGCATAGGTGTGTTCAAATAAAACTATATTGAATCACAGGGAGCAGGCCTGGGCTGTAGTTTGTCAAGCCCTGGAAAAGAGGAATGGGTTAAGGAAAGGGAATAAAGGGGAGGGAATAATAAAATAAGAGGCTTTGCGTGGACCAATGACAGAGAATGCCTTGAAGTATTTTCAACTCAATTCTGGGAAAATACATTCCATTATAATTAAGAGGCAATCAAAGAAAGAAAGGAGACGTTACCTTTTTGTTGTTTCGATTTTCTTCCACACTTACCTCCTTGTTGTCTGTCACGGGAACCCACTTAAATATCCTAAGGGACGTGTCACCCACAGTCACCCACTTTTTCTCCCTAAAACAAAGACACTTCTTAGAACTGATAAACAATAAAATAGATTTTCTGATCATAACTGTGCTTTCCCACTTCTCAGCAGATCATTCCTTCAATCTTAAGTGCTTTCTAAACTTCCTCTCCGTCAAATCATACCTTACCTTTCAGGACAAAATCATCCCTTCCAGAAACACTTTGCTATCAAATGCCTTTGGCTCTGAACCCTCTACTTGCCACCTTTGCTCATGTACAGTGTACCAAAACCTTTTGTTCCTCACAGCCTACAGCAGTATAGAGTATCAGCACATTTTCAAATTCAGGTATCTATCTGGCATAAACTTCTTTATTTCCCCAAAATTAATTCAATTCCACTGATATTTATAAAGCCCTAATATACAAGGCCCAACAGGAGATAAAGGATATATAAGATAGGGTCCCTCTCTTGGGAACTCATAGCAATGAAAAGATAAGTAAAGAAAGCATTGTAACACGTGAAGGTGGCAAGGAAGAAGGCTGAAAGAGTAAGATCGGGATATCCCACGGAAGGCAGAACTCCTATGACTCCTGTGGAACTCTGGATTGAAACACGATGCTATTTAAAAGTAATCACAGGAGCAGGACAGGATGCTTCCAACTAACAGACCTGAGCCTCACACTGGCTTCTGGAAGAGGTGAAGGCCAAGCCGCCATGGAAAGGCTGCTTTAAGGTTTCATTTTACAAGAGGTTACTTTTGAGATGAGCCTTAAAAAATGAGTTGTTCTCCCCACCCCGCACATACCTGGGGAGGGAAAGGCAAGTGACATTGTTGAATAAGAGTGTAGATTATGAACGGCCAGAGTTGGGGAGTCTGGAGTATGACTTCTGCAAGTTTCGCATCCCAATTTGAGGACAAAAAAGCAAAAAAAGTAACTGCTGTTACTGCTGCTATTGATGATGCTATTCAGCAAATGGTAACATCACAGAAATGTAGAGACTATGATGTAACAGAAAGAAGAATGAACTAAAGACTTAGGAAACGGGAGTTAATTCCTGGCCAGCCACTCATTTATTCCTCATTTACTCAAAAATATTTAATATTCAAGACCCTATGCTAAGTCTTGGGCACACAGGGAACAAGATGCACAGTCCTGACCCTCACAGACCCGAAATTCCAACTGGAAACAGACATCACACAACTCATCTCACAGTTTGAAACCTAATCACTAGGTTTAACCATATCAAACTGCCGCTTCTGCTGGTTAAAAAGGCAAATACAGGCAATATATTATGCTTCGACCTAATACAATTGTGGAAAGTTCCAGTCGGGGCCCTGATTTAGACTGGGGATCTTGAAAGGTGTCCTTGAGGAAGCAACTGGAGAGCACAACTAGGAGTTAACTAGGCAAGGGGGAGAAGAGGGTAGAGGAAGGACACCAGGTAGCAGAAACAGAAGTGTGGCCCCAACTGAAAGATGGCCAGCATCTTGGGAAAGAGGGCAGTTTGAACCAGTCTGGTGGGGCAAGAAGGATCATCTTTGGTCTTTATCCTAAGAGCAAGAAGAGATCAATGAAGCATTATTTCCTAAGCAGGAGTGCTAGAAGATTCACCCTTGAGAAAAATACAATGTGATGAATGGACTGGGGAATGAGCCAGTCCTGAAGCAGGCAGATCATAGGGAAGTTGGTACAAGAGTTCTCGGTGAGAGAATACGCTCATCTGCCCTAGGCTGCAGGTGAGGACGGAGATGGCCAGAAGAGAAAGGTATGCCCATTTTTAGGTTTCCCAAAAAAACCTAGAAGGATGAGATTTGGAGGGGAAAAATCATTAATTATTTAACTAGTATTTATGAGTCCAACTATATATCAAGCCCTTATTGATAAAGAGTTAAGGAACTTGATCTTGTAGAGAAATGGACAAATAAACACGAAAATAAAGTCCAAGGTAATGACCCTAAAGGGAGTGGAGGGACTTCCCTGGTGGCGCAGTGGTTAAGAATCCGCCTGCCAATGCAGGGGACATGGTTCAAGCCCTGGTGGGGGAAGATCCCACATGCCACGAGCAACTAAGCCCGTGGGCCACAACTGCTAAAGCCGGCGCGCCTAGAGCCCGTGAGCCACAACAAGAGAAGCCACCGCAATGAGAAGCCCACCCACCGCAAAGAGAAGCCCACGCACCGCAAGGAAGAGTAGCTCCCGCTCGCTGCAACTAGAGAAAAGCACCCGCGCAGCAACGAAGACCCAACACAGCCAAAAATTAATTAATTAATTAAAAAAATAATAATAAAGGGAGTGGAGAGTGAAGGGCAGGAGAACTTGGAGAAGGCTTCCTGGAGGGAGCTAACACCTACCCGGACTTTAAAATTATTAGTAGTAATCAGCTAGAGAAAAGTACTCAAGAAGTTGGCGCAAACAGTTGGCTGTGAATATTGAAGGTGATAACGCATCACTGTTTCTACAAAATAGGCGGTAAACCGGCGCCTGCAACGAACGCTACAGGAGCCGTTTCCAAACGAAGGGTAGATCCTGACTCCACTACTAACAGCTCCCAGGCCATCAAGAGAAAATGCCTACCCAGCTCGCTCGTGTGGGTCCGTATTAGGCGAAACACAGGGCTTTTAATTCCAATAACCACTTGGTCCCGTGGCATGTAGGTTTGCCGAGAAGCTCTCACCTAACTTAGACTTCATACGTAGAGGACCGGCGTGCGAACCAGGTCCCATTGACCGAGCGCCGCCAAACGCCCGCAGCTCCACCGGCGCCGCGCTGCCCTAGGGCAGGTGGGCGGACCCGCGGGCCGGGCGACCCGCTGATTGGTTGCGGCTGGCGCGCCCTCTGACCTCACGCCGACGCGAGCAGCACCCTCCTCCCGCCTTCTCCGCTCCCCCTTCCCCCAAGCGCCCGCCGGTCGGCTCCCACCCCACACGCTAGTTCACCGCCGCTCTGGGCCTGGGCCGGCGTCCCCCTCCAGCACCCTCGGCCCTGGCCCCTCACCATTTCCGCACTTTCTCGATGGCCGCCATCACCTTCTTGATGTCATCCTTGGCCCGGCTGCGGGTCTCGGCCCGGACAGACCGGCCCGACATGGCGTCAGTGGGAACGGCGGGGGCCGGGGCACTGCTCCCAAGGCACCGGGAATCGCGCGCCTCACGCGCCGCCGCCCGCCCGGCGCAAACAGCGTCACCGCGGCCGTCGCCCCCTCCGTGCGCGCGTGCGCGAGGAAGCGCGCGCACCCGCCCTCCCCATGGGGCTCGAGGCATCAGCGCGCCTGCGCGCCCAGTCTCAGGTGCCCCACCCCGGGCGTCCCACCCAGCGTGCCCCGCCCTGGTCGTCCCACCCGGGGCGTCCCCGAGTCCAGTGAGCTTACGAGCAGGCCAGGGTTAAGCGGGCGAGCTGGTGGCACGTGCTGTGTGCAGGGTGTGGTGGGAGGCTCTTTCCCAGGGGAGCATCTTAATCCTCTGGACAGGGCTGCCGCCATAACCTATATTTTATGGGCTTGACCCTAACGTTACTGAGGGTCTGCACCATCCTGTCCTGCTGCCGCTCCTGTCTGGGGCCCTAGCTCCCCAGATAACACCATTGTGCTCCAACTACAGAGAATTTCACACCTTTAGTATGCCTTCCAACGTTTGCACACATCTGTTCCCCACCTGGAATTCTGTCTCTTCACCTAATGACCACTTACTCTTCCAACATTCCGTTTGAACTACGACAGTTCTTCCCCGATATCCTGGGGTGCCACTTAGTGCATCCTTGACACTACATCAGCAGTCCCCAACCTTTTTGGCACCAGGGACTGGTTTCATAGAAGACAATTTTTCCAGGGCGGGGGCGGGGGTGGGGGTTGATGGTTCAGGCGGTAATGCGAGCGATGGGGAGCGGCAGATGAAGCTTCACCTGCTCGCCCGCCCTGCTCACCTCCTGCTGTGCAGCACAGTTCCAGGCAGAGGACCAGTACTGGTCCATGGCCCTGTGGTTGGGGACCCCTGCTCTACATTACTGTCTCATTTAATTCAGCAATTGGTGATTATATGATGCCTGCGTTGTGCAAGACTCCATGCTCAGTGCTGAGGACAAAATCTGGGGTTTTGCTTTCAAAGAGCTTCCAGTTTAGTAGAACATGCAGACCAGAAAACAGGCATTTAAAATGTCATTTAGGGGACTTCCCTGGTGGTGCAGTGGTTAAGAATCCGCCTGCCAACGCAGGGGACACGGGTTCCAGCCCTGGTCCGGGAAGATCCCACATGCCCTGGAGCAACTAAGCCACAACTACTGAGCCCGCGTGCCACAACTACTGAAGCCTGCGCGCCTAAAGCCCGTGCTCTGCAACAAGAGAAGCTACCACAATGAGAAGCCCATGCACCCCAACGAAGAGCAGCCCCTGCTCGCTGCAACTAGAGAAAGCCCACGCTCAGCAACGAAGACCCAACGCAGCCAAAAATAAATAAATAGAAATAAATAAATTTTAAAAATAATAATAAAAATAAAATGCCATTTTATAAACGCTAGGCTAAGAGAGGTATTGTACAAGGTGCTATGACAACCCTAATCTAGATGAGGGGTGTCTAGAGGCATCTGGGGAAAAATGACCTTGAAGTTGAACTTTGAGAATACAGTAGGTGCAATTGCTCTAAGTCCTGTGTCCACAGACACTGTAGATGCTCAGTAGATGTTTGGGTGAATGTTCAACCTTCAGCACAGCTCCCTAGTCTTCCCCCAGCACCCTAGGCATTTATTGATGCTTGCAGTATGCAGAGAGGGTCCTGGAGCAACCGCCTCAGGAAACATAAAGGAAGTAAGTGACAGTTTGCATTGCTTGGTAGCAGCTACTTCTTTCAGCTCTAGAGGAACTTCCTTCTGTGTGCCCAGAGAAATGTCTAGCTAACCCTGAACTTGACATAGCCTCTATAACTGTTCACCCTTTCATAATCCACCAACATCATGGCTCGATAAGCATTTGAGGAGTGGAAGAGCTGAACTAGCATGTGGAGGGAAGAACGATTCTAGAAATAACGGGATCAAAGGTGGCATGTCTGTTTCTCAAAGCCACTGATCCAAAATAACTGAACCAAAGAACTATCTGAGCACTTGCTATATGCCCTGCAGCAGTGGACACTGGGTGACGCAAAGATGAGTAAGACACACTCCCCGCCCTTTGGGCGAGGATAAGGAAAGCAAGAGGAAAATAAAACTCGAGGCAGAGCATGTTAAGTGTTGTGAGAGAGGCCAGCTCTCTAGAATTCTCCAGTTCTGTTCATAGGGCCCCCTGGTCTAGGCACACATCACCAGACATTTATGTCTCACTTCTCTCTCACCCTTGTCCAAGTGCTGGCCAGCACCCCACTCCCACACCAAGGTTTCTTGCCTCTAGTTTCTCTACTCCACAGCCCACTGCTCCTCCCAGCTGCTTTAGCCTCCTGCACCCATCTCTCCTCCAGCCCGCCCTGCCAGTCGCCAGCTTCTTCGGGCCATCCCCTGAAGACCCAGTGATCCTCCTGTTTCCTGCTCACATTTGTCCACCTGGCCCTACATTCCCCACCTGTCTCCCACTGAAGTTCTCTCTGTGTAAGAGACTGGTCAAAATGGGCACCTGCCAACTATTCCCCGAAGCCTGCACAAATGCCCTCTGTTGACATCCTTCTCTTTAAAGAGATCTCACCTTGACATTTTCTAGGTGAAAGCCCTGTGCTAGATGCAGAGCTGGGTGCTGAGATGAGCAGCCCAGACCTCTACCTTGGGCAACTTGCATTCAAAGCAGTGCATTCAAAGTAAAAGTTACAGAGACCTGCAATGCCCCAACCGTCTACCTCCTCCCATTAATTCTCTGACCTCACCACCGGCAATCTACCCTTTGCTATCTCTGCTCCAACTACGCTGGCCTCCTTGCTCATCTGAAAACACCCAGTAAAACTTTGCACTGTGGGTCCCTCTACCTGGATCATCCATTCTGCATACAAGTATTTACATGGCTCACTTCCTCACCTCCTTCAGGACTTTACTCAAATGTTATCCTCTCAATTCAGCCTTTCTTGGCCACCCTAAGACTGCAGTATGCAATCCCACACACACACTCTGTATCCCCCTCCCCCAATATATTTTTCTCCAGAGCATTCAGCACCGTCTGATATACTACTTTACCCTCTGTCTTGTTTACTGTCTATCTCCTTTCAGTAGCTCCATGAAGGTAGCAACATGGTCCCTTTTGTTTTGTTCACTGATTATCCCTAGCACCTAGAACAGAGCCTGGCACTCAGTGGGTGATCATTAAGTATCTGTTAAATGAATGAATTCCCAGCCATGATGCTTCCTCTTCCATGAAGCCTTCCCCAGATCACTTCAAGCAGGAGGAAGGAAGCCTCGCTCCCCTGAACCACCACAGGCAGGTAGGAGAAGCCAGCCTGAAGGCCACATGACCTGGGTGGACGTGCTCGGATATTCCTGAAGATCATAAGTTTAATCACAATTAGAAGATATTTGACTTTTCCTTTGCTCTGTATTATCTGGCTATCCCCTGTAATGGCAGCCCTGTGATGGCAGGGACCCCATCGTCAAGTTCACCAGCACATCCCCGATGCCTAGCACAGCACCTGGCACAGATGAGGTGCTTAATAGAGTGTTATCGAATGAATGAATGAGAGAATGATCACAACTCCCCACAGGCTCTCTCTAGGGCCTGCCATCAGCTGTTTTCTCCCTTTCTGCCCCATCCACATTACCTGGAAACCATCCCACTTTCTTTGTCAGAGCGACTTAGCTCCTAGGTAGCACTCAATCCTCCCCCAACCAGGACGTGTGTCCAGGGCCAGTGCGCCTTTGATAACCAGGCCTCTTCCAAAATCCTTTCCATGCCTCCCCATTACCCAAGTTCAACCTCATACCATAGTGTTAATCAGGGTCCCAAATATGATCTCAGTCACAGGGAAAAGAATGCTAGGAGGCAGAAACCCTGGGTCAGAATCCCAGCTCAGCCATGAACTTGTCTCGTGGCTTTGCGTAGGTCACTTAACCACTCTGAATCCTAGTTTTGTTCTGTGTTTTGTTTTCTGTGAAATGACTTCAATAACAATGGCTCTGTACTTCATAGGCTTGTACCAAGGACCTGGTGAGGTAGAGACCGGACAAGCTTTGTAAACCACAAAGTGCCTTGCAGGCAGAAATTCTCTTTTTGGCTTCCTGTGCCATTGCTCCTGCCATACTCTTAGCTCCAGCTGAATAAACCTGTTCCCTGTTCCCTGAACAGATTCTGCACATCACCTCTGTGCTCTTACTCACACTGCTTCTCCCCTGAGGAATGCCACCCCCTCTCCTTCCCCAGTTGCCATCCTCCTTCTGAAATACCCATCTTTTAAGACTCAACCTCCTCCACAATTATTCCAAAAGCATGTAATCCCACCCTTGCTTAGGTCCCCCTAGAGCATTGCGTTCACCTCTCTCGGCCCTTTCCTTTTTTTTTTTTTGCGGTACGCGGGCCTCTCACTGTTGTGGCCTCTCCCGTTGCAGAGCACAGGCTCCGGACGCACAGGCTCAGCGGCCATGGCTCACAGGCCCAGCCACTCCACGGCACGTGGGATCTTCCCGGACCGGGGCATGAACCCATGTCCCCTGCATCGGCAGGCGGACTCTCAACACTGCGCCACCAGGGGAGCGCCCTTTCCTTTTATTTTACCTCCCAAAAAGCTGAGATCCTCACCCAGGCTGCTTCAGTGGAAGACAGGGTCTGAGGAACCTGCTGAGTCTCGTGGTTCTAGACTAGAACCTGTGTATTCATCTCCCGCACTGGCATCTATGAAAATCTGTTTGAGGAAAAGCCTTGAAGACTAAGAGCCTGAACTACGCTGACGTTCTCTCTTTTCTCCTTCTTGGGTTGTGTTAGAGCCCGGCTGAGAGAGAAGACAGAGGACCTGGATCAGGTCTTCTTCCTCTGAAAGCCACTTTGTAGGCTGTGCTCCTTTGTAAGGCCACCAAGGCCCACGCAACAGTCCTGATGAGTCAAGGAGACCTGTAGGAGGTTGTGGGCGCTCCCTGTGTGTCCTTAGGCAGCAACATTGAACCTACTGGAATTCATTAAAAGAGAGGTTACATGGGCTAAAAATGGAAACGGTTCAAAAAACCCCTCAAAACATTCACAGGCATGGGTCCTTAATGCCTTGCTAATGAGAAGTGCCAGAAAGAAACAAGAAAACAGCCAGTGATGGCCAGTCAGAGGCAGAG